ATTTTATTGGTATTCCATTCCTTGATAGATGGATTCTTTCTATTGCTAATCAATAAAATTAGATTGTATTACTCAATCAATATTTTTTTATTCTTTTATTTTTTTTTTTAAAGAAAAAGATATAATATAACTAATAAAAGTATTTACTTATGGAAATTGAAAAAGAAGGTATTCTTGAAAAAACTCAGGAACGTGAACTTTTGGAAAAAGGTAAGAATTGTTTTTTTGAAATAGTTAAGTCATATCGTAAAATGATTAGAACAATCAAACAAGATGATTCAGAAGAAAATAAATATCCAATGGTTTCAAGTCTTAAAGTTCAAACTGAAATTACAAAAATTACTCAAAACTTTGAAAAAATTCAAATTATTCTTAATGAGTCGATGACTCAACATCTTTTACGTGAAGATTTTGGTAGAAGTGATAGATTTTTTTCTCATAGAAAAACACTTGAACAAACACAAAAAAAGCTCAACTTATTCCTCACAACTTTAGAATATTTTAGAGGTCAAGGAGAAGGGTTACTTGCTGAATGTGAAAGTGCAACAATTTAGACTTATTTTTTTTAAACAATAGACTATACTGAATTGATAGCATCACTTTTTTTTATTGCATTTCCTTTTTTTATCGTTGCTTTTCTATACTCTGTTGAATAACTTAATACTATTGGAGAAATTGACTCACCAAATAATTCCCTCTTTTCTCCTTCAACCTCATGAACATCTGATAAATATTGTTTCTTTCGTGACCCTCTAGGAGTACTATTAATTAAAGCCTTTTTGTTACCAGACCCTGGTTTAAATGGTATAGGAGGTGGTAATACTCTATGCATTTCATCAAGAGGAAATTGCTTGGTTATTGTAACAATTTTTTCATGTAACTCTTCTATTGAATCTTCTTCTCTTTTTGACTCTTTGAAACGAAACGTCATAGAAAAATGAGGTGGAAGTCCAAGAGAATTTCGGTTGACCCCTTCAGTTGGGTCTTGAACTTGATCAAGTTTCAATGTATATTGGGAATGAACATCTATAAAGAAAGCGTTGAGAATGACTTTACCAATGATTATGCTCTTTTCTTTTGATTCTACAGTTAGAGAAATAACTGTGTCATTTACGATTGGCTGTTTAATGAATGAAATAATAAAACACCCATCACTCATTTGTTGCCATGATTGCGAACATTTGAATAAATGAGGATGAGGTTCTGCATGAGATAATGGATTGAAGTATAACACAGGATGTGCACAATCAGTAGAATCTTTTACTGTAATTGTAGGTTTGAACCCAGTAAATAAAACTGAACTAAGATTAATTGAATAGCTAGGAATTGGTTTAAACGGAACTTCTCTAGGAAAAACTGATAGATAATAGTAGAAGTAATAACAATATCTAATCTGTGGTGGTGACGTTGCTCCTTTCATAATTTTAGAGCGTTTTCGAGCAAATAATTCTAATGCCTTTTTAGCATCACCACACTTTCCAAGTGAAAGTAAGACACAAGAACATACCAAACCAGTTCTACCTCTTCCTGCTTTACAATGAACACATGCAATATGTTTTGGACACTCCAGAACATAATCAACAATATCTCCAACAATTTTTAGTAAATGATTAAAACGAGGTGGATGGTGATCAAGAAATCCAACATGTTGTACCCTATTATTAAATTCTAATGATGTGTATGACTTTTCAGTTAAGTTCCATATCATATAGTTATTAAAATAATTATTGTTCAAATATTTTGCTATTTCTTCTTTTGAATTTCTCCATTGTTGAAAGATCCCTGTTGTGGGTATTCCCATTGCAATAAGATTAGGTAATATATAAGTTAAATCCAAATCTTTGCCATCTGCTGTGATCATGTACTTATCATCTGCAACAATTCTTCTTAACATGGTGACTTTTTACTAAGAATAATATTTATTTATTCTTAGTTCATTAAATACTTCCTTTTTTGGCTCTTCAAAATATTTCAAATCCACAATTTGTTTCTCATTCAAGATTTTGTTATTATTTGGCTTTGAATGAGAAATGAAGAATGAAAATCAGAAACACATTCAAATATTAATACAAGTTCAAATAATGAATCATCAATTATATTTAATTATGATGATGTAATTGAATAAGAAATATATTAATTAATAATTCAAAGGATGAAGTAAAGTATTATGAATGAATATTATCAAATTAAAAAATGATATAAACGATGATGTTAATATTGGATAACATTATGTATAATGATACAATGATAATATGATATATTCATTTATCATAAAGAAAAGAAGGAAATGAAGTTGTTTAAAATTAAAGCAGAAATCAAAGAAGAAGTTAAAAAGAAAAATGAAGTAGAAATAAGAAATGAAAAGACAATAATAGGAAGAAATAAAGTAATGACATGCTTTTCTCATACTCCTAGACAAATCTAAAGGATAAGTTAAACAAAAAGATTATTCTTTAAAAAAAAGTAAATGGACGGGATTAGTCTCCCTAAGCTAAGAAATAGAAGAAAAATCTATTAACACTTAATTAACTAAT